CTCCTTGCGGTGACCATCCAACAATTCTTTTGCTAACTATGAAATGATTTAAACAAGTTTTGTTAGATTTACTCCAAACATTCAAATAATATTTCTCGCATATTCGACTTTAAGCGAATTCAAAAAGCAATTTTTCGGAAATTCTGATTAACCCTTACCCCTTAAATCGGCTATAAATTTGATTTATAAAAATATTCAAAAATTTAAACTTAATAATTTTCTGTTTATATATATTAGGTCAATATTCAGGTCAATAAATCACACTCATAATCTCATCTTTTAATTAATTGCAATATAGAATATGGTAATTAACAATAATTAAATTAAAAAAATTGTCATAAAAGCCAGCACCAAAAAAATGCGTGTACATGTGTATGTATGCATAAGAGAGTTCAATGAATTAGTTGAACTCTGTACGAAAATTGTCTTTACTTGTGAGCAGAAGTATGTTTGTATGAATCCACTTGTCAACAGAAATAAACTCAATTATTTATACATACAGTTTTATAGTTGTAGTTGTTCAATATAAAACTACAAGTATTTGATATGACCGCCAGACAAACCAGACAGATTAGATAAGAAATAGTAAGAGCCCATAAATGGCTTAGTAAAGGAGTGTGAAGACATCCAAACCCCACCCTAAAAATTACTCACACCTGATTAAAAGTGCAAATATGTATGTATGTATGCATGTATGTAAAAAACATATAACACAAATATTTTTCTTGCCGGTATCCCCGACGCTCAAATTCCACTAGTACATTGCTCACTTATTCTTGCAAACAATTTTACATGCCTACTTACATATGTAAATGTATGAATGCATGAATGATTAGAGACACTTTAACACTCACGCGTTATCGCCGGTTTTAACTCAAGAGCCATATGTGTAAATTTCTGTGTAGATAACACACACGCTCCTTGAGCTGGCTGGTCCTCTGGCGTGCTGATGTCTGGAGTTGCACGAGCCAGCTGCGTGACCACGGAAAAATCCATGTCTTAAGTTATGGCCAAACACATGCAGAGAGCTCTCTTTCATTCTATTCCCTTTGGTTTTCTATTATACACAATACAATAACAAATATAAACAAGTTGTAAGTTTACACTCTTAAAATTAAGGGAGCGATAGAAGAGTGAGAAGAAGAAGAGTACGCGTGCTTCCCAAATTATGTCTTCAGCGCGCGTTTTTGGAAATGATAAAGCAGTTTTACATTAAAACAAGGGTGGGAGCACATTGTATATATGTTTTTCGTATGTACTCAAGAGCACTGTATATAGGTTGCCTTCGATGTCACGGCGTGGACGCGTGGTCATAGCGTGCGTACGATCAGTGACAGATGTAGACGCTCAACAGCTGATTATTGGGCATTTGGATGCACATGCGGCATGGTGGTGGCCTTTAAATTTCATGAATTTCTGTGAAACGAGCAATGCATGGCTTCATAACGTGGTGGAGTTCACGTAGCACATTCTCAAAATTCGGGAGATGCCCCAAAAAAAGCTGAACGAAAACTTCTCAGCCTGTTTTTTCATACATTGAACCTAATGAAAGAAACACATATCGTCACCTAAAATGCAAAATAACGTAACATCACTTTTCATAAGATTACAGGCGAAGTAAAAGCGATATAAAAGAAACCACTCATATAAAAACAAATTTTGAATTTGGTTATAAAATGGTTATATGTATGTACATATGTATGTATATTGGTTATATCTGAGAGCGGAAGCTGAAAATTTTATGCTACATATATGTACATGCATACTTATGTGATGTAATGTAGTGAATCGTAGGCAATAAAAAACTCTTTTTCGATTTTTGGTTGCGTTGTTTTGAATTTTAGGTGACGATATGTGTTTCGTTAAAAGTGATCAACTCCATTCTAAGATAAGTGGCAGACCGGTTGGTGACACATGTACATACATACATATACCGCGCTGCGTTTCGATCTGTTATTGTCTTTCGCAACAAAAGAATGATGTACTTCTTTTGAAGATATTTCCGCATTTTTATTAATTTATTGGCGTTACTATTCCGAATTTGCGATGAAAAATAGCAAAAAATAAATAAAGTGCTCAAAACATCAGAAAACTTTTCTAATTAAAGCCACTGAATATTTATTACTTATTTTTAAAAGATAAGGCCATTAAATTTAACAAAATGCTGTCTATTCCGAAAAAAGGCCTCTCATGTCAGATGTGTTAATGCATATTTATAACTTGAACTGGGCATATTAGGTTTGGCATGAAGTTTGTAACACGCAGAAAGAGACGTCGGAGATATTAGAAATTATACAGTTTCATTACAGAGATATTTTGGATTTGCGGAGGTATAACCGAAGTTAATGTTTTTTTTTATTTTTTTTTAATTCTTATATTTTTGTTTGTTAATATATTTACGAATATATGCATGTGCGAAATGCAACCTTTCTTACCAAAACGTCAACCACAACCAGTTAGCGTTTATCGGATATCTGTGCGCTTTATTTTGATTTGCAAATTTAATGAGCACAAGGAAACCATAAAAAATTACGCATAAAGCTCAGCACTGGCTCGCCACCAAATTAACGACCAGCCAAGGCGAACTTTGCTGCGACCAACAAAAACTAATACAAATTAATAGACCACTATAAAACAATAAATCGGAGTGATTGCACTTGTACAGCTGTCAATGGTTCTGATTCAAGTGCACGCACATACAAACATTTGCATACTCGTAGACTACTGTAGCTACTGACATAATTACGTATTTGTGATTTGGAAACCACATATATTTTTTTATACACATACATATATGTATACTATTAATACATTTATATGTATATTGACATTTTTTTGCTTTGTATATTAAGTTTCGAGATTAGCCAATTATTGGTCATGATAAGAAACTACTAATTTGGATTCAGCAATTCAGGGAAACCCACGAAATTAGTAAAATATTTACGAACATGAATTAGCCCAAGCGTAATTTACGCGATAATATTCAAATTAACTTATAGACTTACAAATGCGTAGTATTTGCTTTTTCATTCATCATTTAACATTTGTTGTAAAATGTTAGACCCAAAATTTATGTTGGCTCAACACATCAACGAAAATCATTTCTCCTGGCAACTTTTTGACCCGTAAAATAATAAATCTTAACTAAGCTCATCGCTACAAGACTATGCTTTGCACTAACGATGACTATTCGACCGTCAGTGCATTTCGGGGTAGAGAGCAGCGTAGCACACTTACTGAATAGTAGATTTTCAGGTGAATCGGTCAATTTTTTGTCACAGCACAACTCGCACAAGTCGGACAGGTTCATTAATATGCCCAGCTTGTCGTCGGTAGGACCCATAAAGCATTCGGCTGTGTGTGAGCGTGCATTTTTCGCACTTATTTGCAGCCGCAAATGCTCGGCCAGCACTTGGCCCCGCCGTGATATTCAGGGGCGTGTCAGTCGTCACCCACATGCAGGCACACCAACGGGTGAACTCATAAGCACGTCGCGGACGTAAAGTCACGAGCGGGAAATTTCTATGTGTTCGCAGAGCGCAAAAACGCAAACCAAAGGCGACACGTGTATGGCTGTGCGATTTAAAGCAAAAATATCCGTTTGTATATCTATATACATTATACGTTTGTATATATGTATTTGTATGTGTTCAGTTGCTCATATACCTAAATGAATGCGAAAGGAAGCAAATATTTCGACTTATGAATTAAATATGACGGCAATGTAAGCCAATCTGACGGTTTAAGCGACACACGCGTTCTGTGTCTACCTGTCTGCGAGCACGCCCGTTGTCGATTCGCGGCTGTTGAAAGCGTTTGTCCAAAACTAGAAATGTCGCGCTCAAATTAAAGCACACGAGGCTAAATATTTTTAATCCAAACATACGCTTGTGTGCGCATACATCAGCCGGACGCTGGAGAACAACAACGGCGCAACTGATGGCTGTCTAGTTGTACTTGGTGTTGTTGGCGACAAGCCTGACGGCTAGTTTCTACACACGCCAGCAAATAAACGGCAATAATATTTCAATGTTGTGCGCCAATTTTTTCAATAGTCAGCCAATGGCGAGCGAGCTGTTTTGCTGTTGTTGTTGTACGAATTAAAAAACAAAGTACTGTTGTTCTGGTATATAGTATTATGAAGCAAGATAAGCTTAAATTTGAATAAACGAAGAGGCGGGTTTAAAATAGTTCTGAAAGTTGGTAAGTCAACTTTTATTTAGTGGCTTTTTGTTAACAACCAATTCATTGAATTGAAAAAATTGAAAAATAATTAATTCGGCTGTGATCAACCTCAGGGGTGATATGTAAAAGCTTCTTTAAAATTTTGTCATGCTGACTTTGACTTATTTTAAACACGCTTTGAATGCCAACACATTTGCATAGAATCCAACTTAATCACAACAACAATAAAAGTAATGAAATAGCGAAGAAGCCGAGCGACTCAAAGCTTGTTAGTCTATAGCAGAAAAACAGCAAATTCGGCATTACGAATGCGCGCACGCTCCATCAAGTAAAGCGCTGACAACGTCCATGAGTACGAGAAAAAGTAAGATTTGGTTTCTACAAAGGGTTCCTAAGCGGAGGGCTGAATAAACGAGCCTTTATAACATACGAGTATATACAGTTACACGCTTGCGATAAAATAAAGCATAAACCACCAAATCAGGTAGACTTGCTGTCTACAAGCGGACAATCTAAGTTTAGCATTAGAGATTCTGACTCGAGTATCTCTGAGGTGACGAGTAACTTGGCAGGCTCCACTTGTTGATGCGCTGAAAATACGGACTGATTTATGACCATTTAGCTGATACAGATTTTGTGTTTTATGTTCGCTTGTCTGTGAAGTTTCGATAGAGTGTAGGGTTAATTATTGAATACTTAGCTCTTCTAATATGGTTTCATGTTTCAGAAAAAATATTTCGTTTCAAAAATAATTATTTTTGCGCACTTTGGTTTATTTATGTTATTTAAATTTGACTTTTGTTTCATATTTCCAGGAACTGCCTACGTCGCATTGCGCGTCACGATGAGCCTCAATTCTCCAAGGATAGTATTGTCAATGTTATGGAAAAATTTGTGAAAACCGTTAAAGTGATGGATGACACTATATTGGTGCCATGCCTGCTAATGGATCGACAGGTTCGTACCTTCAATGAAAAAACATTTGCATTTATATTTGTAATGAGAATCGACATTTTTTGAATGATTTAATAAAGACTATACGTAGTATAATATTATACCGAGTTTGCCAATAGACATGATATGATTGAAAAGTGTCCTTTCGGCCATTTTGAATGATCTGTAGTTTTGAATCATCGTAAACCACCGTAAACGTCGTGAATTTGCCTTGGAACAACTTGAAAACGATAACGATTTTTCGATTTGTTTAAGAAAAATATGTTGTAGAATGAAGCTAAAATGAACAAAAGTGTCGATTATTTATGAACAATCATTACATTCACCTAAATTGACAGTTTAGTCGATAGAACTTTTTTCGAAATGAAGTCGGTGACACCGTAATTGTCAATGGATAGTGGTGTAAATCGATGATAATCAACTTTTTATAGCCGCAATTGGAAGGAATTGATCTTAATAACATCTGCTCCAAATAGACGAAGCTACGTGCCACACACCCCATGCAACACCGGAATCATTGCGAGGAAAGTTTGAAGATTCCAAAAATTTCAAGAAATTGTGACATTTTATGGCTCCCAATAAGTTGAGGCTTTACACCATGAGACTACTTCTAGTGGGTTTTTTGAATGCAATAAACCAGACTCTATTCAAGCTTTTGAGCAAGACGTACGACTTGATTGAGTCCTTAACAAATAGTGTGTTTTGTTATAAAGAAATCATATCATATCATTATTGGAAAACCCTTTATGAACTGATGCCAACACGTGAAGGTATTTCCCCAGTCTTGACCCTTGCAAGGTTCAAGAGTTTCATACCAACTCACATCGGTTGAACCCAAACTTAGTCCTTCCTTGTTATGTTAAGTTTTTATATTTTAACACACTTATGTAAATTTAATTAAATATATATGTACATATAATAAATATAGAAATTTATATATCATTAACATTAAAATATATACCCATTTCACCCATATGAGTTTTCTGCTCTTCCGTACACAGGTCGGTGATAGCACAGATATTATACCAGCACCTGGCAAGAATTCCACCGCCAATCAGCACACTATGCAACATTCTGCCGCACGCAGCGCTGCACACTCCAAAAACGTTCATGAGTTCCTTAGCTCGTCGGAGCTCTTCAATCTCTATAACATGTTGAATGCGCTCAAGACTGATCTGCTTTGGACAGGAAAGGACGATTCCGAAGACGACGACTGTGTCGGGAATGAAAAGCAAGGCACAGTCGAAGTGGAAAATCTATTGTATTCGCGTTACGATTCCAAAACATCGGATGCGGTTAGTGTGACCAGCAGTACAGAGGCCGTTGCCGCAATCAGCAGAAACGCAACCAATTTGAACGCCACTGCTGCCGCAACAGCATCGACCGCAGCCGCCCCCAGTCAGACAGTCAGCGTCAAAGGACACAATCGTTGCCCCTCCACTGCCTCGGTGGCTTCGATTGTTTCCACCACATCGGCATGCAACCTAAGCGATTCGGAGAGTGAAATTTCAAATGAAAATGATTCGGGCATGGAGTCGGAAAGCCATAAGAGTGACAATCAGCCAAGCAGCACCGAGTCCGTAAGCGGTAGTGATGATACCGAGTCACGTGCCGCTGCAGCCGCCACATCCACCTCCAACGCCGACAAAGCTACCGAATTGGCGAAACGCTGTCGGCGACATTTGAACGGTCTCTACCATTGCCTTGAACAAATGACAGAGGCGGCACATTACCTGACCGTTAGGTACCAAAGTGATATTGGCCCCGTTTAGAGATGAACTGCCATGGAGCTGTGAATAGAAAATGCACAGACTGCAGCGAGCAAGTGATCCCCTAGCGGTTGTGCGCAAATTGAACGAGTGTATTAGGTGGGGTACTATGTTAGGGAGGGTAGTCAGTCTCTTTCTTGGGGGCCGGGGTCTTATATGTGGGTTTTTATGTAATAATTTAATAATTTCTGTGTCTCTTTACGGTTTTAGGGTTAGGCAATTGAGAAGACAGTACCCTTACTGCACTTATGCCCAGACTAGCGGTTACTAAATTCGGATTAAAAAGATTGTTGGTTTCGTATTCGATTGTATAGTCGTATTGGTAATGTGACATCTATTCGTTGTTGTAAACCTTGAAAGAAATCCAATGTTTCAAAAGGGTTCAAAGGTAACACGTCTTTTGTTCCAAGAATGTTTGATCGTGCAAACCACTGGGTTTAAAAACAACAATCTCTATCGGTAACTTTTGTAATGTGACCAAGATGGCGTTGGTGTTGTGTGCCTGTTTGGGCATAATGCTCGGGTGTTCACTGTCAACTGTTTGTATGCTAAATAATACCACACTTTGTGTGTGTAAGGTATAAGCGAAGTAGGTAGCCTAAAAATTTTTAGTTTAAAGAACAAAATCATTGAAAATGACTAAACGATATACCACTGAAAACTAAATGAACAAATAGATCAAGTAAAAACGCAAAGCTAAAGTTGTAAGAGAATTATGTAGCAACCGGAAACAACTAAGAGAAAAAACAGATGAAGGAAAAGCGAAAGTAAAAAGAAGTAGAGTCAAGACAGCACAAACGATTGTTGGACAAGAAAAAAAGCTCCCTTTTAATTTAATATTGTATTGTACAAAAACAAATAATTTCTATTTTTCCATAATAATGTGATATAGAATTGTATGCGGTATCATGTGCGTTGCCAAGCGCCTACTCCTCTTTTTTGGCATCAATTAAGCAAAGAGCTTGACAAAGAAGCCAGAAAAATACAGAAATGATACAATAAGCAAACCGTATATGAAATTCAATTTGTATCTCTAAGATACAGCACTACTGAGTGTACTTTGTATGTGTATATACATACTATTGCACTTGGACAAATTTATGTAGTAACAGAATACAAGCGTATGTTGAAATAATGAGAAGTATAATAAAAAAGCCAAAGTTATTAAGTGAAAGCTAACAGTGTTGTCTTCTTTGCTTGGGGATGGGTGGAGAAGAAGAAGAAGAAACGTTAAGTTAAAACTGTGAGCCATTAGAAGCAAACTCGAGGAGTCTAAATTATTAAACCGTTGCAATATTGAAATAATATTTCCAGCGAATTTCAGAAATCATAGAATAGTTTTGAAAATATTTCAAAATTCTAAATTTTTAAACCTGTAGGAGCAATTAGACAGAATATGAAGCGAATAAATTATTTTAAATTGCATATTGAGCTATGGAAATGTTGCTTCGGTCTGTTCGAGCCGCGTTTTATTGCCACCAGTGGCAACCCCGTTACAATAAAGTACAAAGACCGCTGATGAGAAAGCGTGGCGGCTTTCGAAATACACACTCGGTCTGACGGCGTTGCCAACTATTCGCCAAGGGCTAGTTGACTTTGTTGGTTAACAGCATAGCGAAACGAAAGACTTAAGCAACGAACCTGCGCTTGAACGAAACTCCCTGGGTGTATCTAAGCTCATTTGTGTGTTCATCGGAGGGGGCGGGCTTATAGCAAATAAATAACGCTGAAAATTATTGAAATAAAAAGCTTTAATTTCCATGCAAAAGTTGATAAAAAATGAATTTGATATTCGTTGTTGAGTACACCAAATCATAATCGCAACAGCTCAAGGAGTATTGGAAATAGTTATTAAATGACTAAATATAACAAGAATAGCTTGCATTTAGGATATTTCGTTGCATTGTTAGCCAAATAAAAAATAGTATATAAACAAATTATGTATTTTGGTGATTTGTATGAGTTCATCACATTGTATTTATGTCTATATTCTCTATATTCACAAGGTTAAATGAAAAGTTTTACCTCGATGATTATTCTGAGTGAGTGCATAAGCAAAAGTATAAAACGTAATTATTTTTTACACCTTTGTATATGATTATATGTATGTATGCACTTTACTACTTTTATTTTGCTTATACTCGTGAATGTATGATTTAACTATGATTGCACATATGTATTACCTACACACACATATATATACATATATATTTATATATGAAAATATTAATAATAACACCTTTTGTATATTCAAACATTAGTGTATATAAATTAGATGTTTACTGATGAATACCGGTGAAACTATGATGTGAGAACGATATGACATAATGTAAATTTAAATTAAAAATAAACAAAGATTATATATATTTAAATAAATAAATAAATTTAAATATATAAGATTTCAAATATATAAAAAAGTTTTGTTTAAGATTTCCAAGAAGGTATTTATGCAGTAAGTACAGCCGGTCAAAGGTTGGTCTGCCGAAGGACAGTTTAATTTATTTTCTTTTCCAATATTTTTATCGAAAAACAAACGAATATGAAGATGAACAATAAGTATCCTCTTCCTCTGTTTCCCCTGACATGATAAGTTGAATACAGAGCTGGAGTGTTTCCATCCAAACGGTCGACGACTAGTCAGCATAGCCGCTGTCTCTTCATTTGTCCCATATAGTAGGACGGGGATGATGAGTGACTTGTAGTTTTTCGGGGACACCAAATTGAAACATAGCGGCTTAAGGCAGCTCCTTTTCATGCTGTCAAAAGCAGCTTTGAAATCGACGAAGAGGTGGTGTGAGTCGATCCTCTTTTCACGTGTCTTTTCCAAGTTTTTGATTTTCCAGACTTATGCCATATTAATAAGGTCCAATCAGTTTGTTGACGCTACACTTAAATTCCAATCGTCTTAAATGCTTTCGCCGGACCATATTCTACGAAGAAGCTTAAGCATGCTCCTTATCAGTTCTTCACCGCCGTATTTGAATACCTCTAAATTTTATTAAAAATACCTGTGCAATAGTATACTTGAAATTGTTTCCAATCTGAAAATATAACATTTTCCCCATATTTTCAGCTCTTTGTAGCTGTCATTCCAAAAAAATATATCCGTTAGTATAAATAGTAGTCAGAAGGGTTAAGGGCTGGGATWATGCCTGCCTCTGTTTTCCAAAAAAAAAAAAATAATAATAATAATAATGACTTCAATTCATATGACACCAAGTTACCTTGTACCTGGCTACTCTTAAACATTTTGAAATGGCTGCCAGAGTGATTGCCTAAGTTTTTTCTGGTTTTTTTTTATGCTCTTGAAACGTACTGCTGTAGATTATAATAGTTTTGTTCACCTAACGGTTGTTTGGGGTTACATATATAAATGCAATTGGGCGATAGCTTGATCTGGACCCTATATATGTAGAAAACGTATAATGCCGGATGACTTTATTCCCTATGATTGCTGATGATGTGTGGGTAACTTAATGAATCTCAGTGAACATTTTGTTAAATCGGGTTGATAATATCACCAACTCCCATATATCATACTAAATATGTATGTATTTATACACTCGTGGCCATGCAAACCTTACCACTATACCGTCAAAATTTTTTTTTGTCTTTTTCGTTCGTTCGGGATTTTTTTTTTTAATTTGGTTTTTTAATCTTTTATCTCTTACATTTCGTGCTCATTTTGTAAAGCTCACTAATTTTCAAAAGATTTTGTCTATTGTTGAATGTGTTTTGTTTTTAATTTTTAATATTTTTGATAGATAACATGTTACTTATTTCTAACTGAAAAATACCGCAAAAAGTACCACCATAAAGTATTATCAAGTATGCACAACACTTGAAAACTTTTAGTGATATGGTTTGCGGGGCCACGGGTGTATATATTCATATATTGCTGCTTGGATTCCGAACCGTTAGTTGACGGTATTGATTCTTGCAAGTTGCAAAAGTTTAAAATCTTCGGTTGCACCCGAACTTACCCCTTCCTTACTTGTTAGAAGTTATTCTTTTTTTAGAATATCTTACATTGTTAATGGAACACAAAAAGAAAATTTGTGCAAAAAGTTGATTAAACAAATATAATACACAACAAGAAAAAATGTTAACTTCGGCTGCACCGAACCTAATATACACTTCACAGGTGCATTTCTTTTAGTAACTATGTGCTCAGTTTGTACAGAAGCTATATGCTATAGTATACCGATCTGAACAATTTTTTCGGTGTTTATAATAGGTTGTCAAAAAAGTCTTGCGGTTTTTTTTTATTTTATATTTATATTTTACAACGCTTTGATGACCCAGGCCTTAAGGGGCGTGGCGCATCTTCGACCACCTCTACACCAGAACGAAAACGTTGAAACCATCGTTGTGCGGTGGAAATGGAAACTGTATCGGGTCCATAAACTGCACAAATTTTATTGGCGGCTTGAAATGCATTTTTGCCTTTATCGTAGTAGTACTGTAAAATATGCCGTATTTTCTCTTTATTTTGCTTCATGTTTGCGACGCTATAACTCACGAAAAAACACGTGTTAGCGCGTGAATGAGCTTTCTAAAAAGGTATACCATGACCCGATGCGACGAATAAAACTAGAACTACGCGCTCTCAGCGCCAACTAGTGAAAATACCGATTCCGATTGTTCAGATATCGGCAGATCCGACAAATGAGCAGCTTTTTGAAGGGAAAATGACGTTTGCAAAATTTCAAAACGATATCTTAAAAACTGAGGGACTAGTTCGTATATATACAGACAGACGGAGACGGATGGACAGACAGATAGATGGACATGGCTAAATCGGCTCAGATCAACATCCTGATCATTTATATATGTATATATATTTTATGGGGTCTCCGACGCTTCCTTCTGGGTGTTACAAACTTCGTGACAATTTATATACCCTGTTCAGGGTGGAACAAGAAGATAGCTAGAGCATATTGCCGCTTATAAGCTCAAAACGCTAATTATATAGGCCAAAGTGCATTCAAATTGAAGTGCAA